CTGACGGTCAGTGTACAGAAAAGAAAAGCTTCACACCTGATGATTTATGAGTCTCGGAAAGCTCTTCTGAATCTATTGTCTGCTGCGTTTCAAACAGAGCCACAAAAATAGTTGCTTTGTCTCTGAAAACAGCAGAGCGTCCTTAAATAAAACCTAATTGTTCACAACGGGGGATTTGGATTTAATTCAGCTGATAGCTCAGATACGCTCAGACTAATATAATAAGAGCATGCATTAAAACAATACAGTCAGTCTGTCAAAGACAAATTGCTCATTGTGACAGTCTGATTAAGCTAATTATTCAGCTTTATAACACTCCCTCTCATTTCTGATCGTCTCGTAAATTGTGTAGAGCGACGGTAAAAACAAAGATAACACACATGCACTGTTTAAGAGCGCACATTATTCGGGAACCAATCACACGGCAAACCAGCACGCAGAAAACACATTCATTATGTGTTCATTTGTCTATTCATGTATTAATTAATCAATTAATAAATATTTATTGATTCAATCTTTATTTATTTATCTATTCATTCATTCATTTTAATGTAATGTATTTACTTTTCTATTATTTTATCGGTTAATTTTTTAATTTGTATGTGTTTTTATTTTGTGTTTTATTCATTCAAATACTAATGCATTCATTCATTCATTCATTCATTCATTTACTTACTCACTCACTCACCCACTCACTCACTCACTCACTCACTCACTTATTCATTCATTCATTCATTCATTCATTCATTCATTCATTCATTCATTCATTCATTTACTCACTCACTCACTCACTCACTCACTCACTCACTCACTTATTCATTCATTCATTCATGCATTCATTTATTCATTTATGCATTCAAATACTAACATATCCATTAATTTATTCATCCATTTATCCATGTATTTATTCATTCACATACGTATCCATTTATTCCTAATTTTTATAATTAATGTACTACTTTTTATATTATTTTATTGGTCGATTTATTAATTTGCATGTTTTCATTTTTTTGTTTTGTTTTACTAATTCATGAATTCATTGTTTATGTATTTATTCTTTCAAATACTTATTTAGCCATTCATTCATTCATTTTTTAGTAATTTATGTATTTATTTATCTATTATTTTATTAGTCCATTTATTTATTTGCATGTTTTTTATTTTGTGTTTCATTCATTCATTCATCCATTCATTCATTCATTCATTCATTCATTCATTCATATAGTTATTTATCCATTTATTTATTAGTAATATATTTATTTATCAATTATTTTATTGTTTAATTTATTAATTTGGTTTTATTTGTGTTTTATTCATTTATTCATTCATTCATTCATTAATTCATTCATGTTTTTATTCATTCATATACTTATCTATTCATTCATTCATTTTTAGTAATCAATTTATTTATCTAGCTATCGGCTTTTTAATTAATATTTTTTTTTATTTGTGTTTCATTTATTCATTCATGTATTTATTCATTTAAATGTTTATTTGTCCCTTAATTGTCATTTTTTTAGTAATTACTGTATATATCAATTATTTTATCGGTTCATTTATTAAATTTGTATTTTTTATTTTGTGTTTCATATACTTATTTATCCATTAATTCATTCATTTTTTTGTAATTAATGTATGTATCTATTATTTTAACGGTCAATTTATTGTTTGTATGTTTTTTTAATTTTGTGCTTCATTCATTCATTCATTCATTCATTCATTCATTTATATACTTATCCATTCATTTATTTTAAACACACTGCTAATGTTGTTTTCTTTAAATTTTTGACATCAATTTTTTTCTCAAATCAGCTTGACAGAAACACACATTCAGTATGTATTAATTTGTTTGTTTATCCATTTATTTATTTATGCATTTATTTATAATTAATTTTTTTGTAATTATTGCATTCTTTTTAGTAATTTAGTAATTAGTCATTTTATTTTATTCATTCATTTATTAATCTGCGTTCATTTATTTATGTATTCATTAATTTGTTTATTCATCCATTTGTATGAATTGATTTCGTATTTAAATCAGGATCCATGTGATTGGCTGCGTCTTCCAGATTGCTGTAATCGTTATGCCAGAAAGCGCAGTAGCACAGTTCTCTCTAATGGGGGCGCTGTTGCACAAACTAAAACACTACTCTCACTCCTCTCCAGATCAGCTCAGGTGAGTGAATGTTTCTCTGTGCTGTAACACTGTTAGCTGGCATCCTCAAATAAATCCTCCCAGGAGCTTTTTTCTACGCCAGCATTCCTCCAGAATCCAGAGCCGCTCCTGCGGGACCCAGCAGGCATGATCCTGCAGAGAAAAACCAGTTGCTGCAGCCTTGAGGATTTACATACGGCTCTATATTTAATCTCCTCCGGTGGGAAAGAGTCTTGAAGATGGCCAGAAGATTGGAGAAACCGCAGACTCTCTGTTCTCCTTGGCTCGAGGAGCTGTTAACTGAAGGCTGACGGTGTTATTAAGAGCAGCGTTTGAGGGTCTCTGATCACCAATTCACCCTATAATGGGCTTCTTCTGCATCAGCGCATGATCTGAACTCTATAATGAGGACAAACCCATCAGATGTACAATTACAGCAATCTGGAGGACGACACACACATCTGAGAAAAGCAGATTCATTGTTATTTTGTAGTTTCTTCATTTTAAAAAGACTTGAGTTTGAGAGACTGCAATTTATTAATTAAATTATGTGTATTATTATTTATGTATCCACTTGGATGATGGGATTTCCCAAATAGTCGGCCATCCAGGTACTAACCAGGCTCAGCTCTGCTTAGCCTCAGTGAGTAGCAGGTCTTGGGCTGCAGGGATATGGCTGTGGCTTGTAAAAATTAATCTATAATACTTTTTAAACCATTGTTACTTAAAACAAATAAACTTGTTCACTGAATAAACGAATGACTAAATAAATGAATTAATTAATGGATAAATGCATGAATAAATAATTATGTAACCTAGTTTATTAAATGAATGAATAAATGAACATATTAATAAATGAAAAAATAATAAATAAATACACATCAATACAAGCAATGAATTAAAAAAAAATGAATAAACAAATATATGAATACATAAGTAAATAAAATGATAAAATAAAAACGATAAATAAATAAATGTAATTATTAAAAAATAAAGTAATGAATGAATGAAAGAGTGAATGAATGAATAAACAAATACATTAATGCATAACTAAATAAAATGACAAATGAAAAATGCTAAATAAATACATTTACTAAAAAAAATAATGAATGAATGAATAATTGAATGAATGAATGAAGTAGTGAATGAATGAATAAACAAATACACGGTGCATAAACAAAAATGACAAATAAAAAATACTAAATAAATACGTAAATTAATAAAAAACGAATGAATGAAAGAGTGAATGTATAAATAAATAAATACATTAGTGCATAAATAATGAAAAATGATAAATGGAAAAATACTAAATGAATGAATTAATTAAGAAAAAAAATGAAAGAATGAATAAATAAACAAATACATGAATTTATAGATAAATAAAATGATAAATTTAAAAATAATAAATAAACAAATGTAATTATTAAAAATAATAAATGAATGAATGAATGAATGGAGTGAATGAATATAAAATAAATGAAAAAAATACTTAATAAATAAATTAAATAATTAATAAAACATAATGAATGAATGACTGAATGAATGAATAAATAAGCAAATACATTAATGTATAAATAAATAAAATGGCAGATGAAAAAATACTAAAAAAATAAATTAATTAATAAAACATTAATGAATAAATAAAAGAGTGAATGAATAAACAAATACATTAATGCATAATTCAATAAAATGATAAATGAAAAAAAAATGTTATTAATAAAAAACTGAATGAATGAATGAGTGAATGAATGAATGAACATACATTAATGCAAAAATAAATTAAATGATAAATGAAAAAATACTAAATAAATTAATAAAAAATGAATGAAGGAATGAAGGAGTGAATGAATGAATACAAAATACATAAACACATAAGTAAAAATGATGAATTAAAAAATAAATTAATAAATGCAATTAATAAAAAGAATGAAGAGTGAATGAATGAATAAACAAATACATGAATTCATAAGTAAATTAAATAATAAATAAATGAAAAATAAATAAATGTAATTAATAACAAAAATGAATAAATGAAAGAGTGAATGAATGAATAAACAAATACATGAATGCATAAATAAATAAAATTATAAATTTAAAATACATAAATAATAGAAATTAATACATTTTTTATGAATGAATGAATGAAGGAATGAATGAAGGAGTGAATTAATGAATAAACAAATACATGAATGCATAAATAAATAAAATGATACATTGAAAATACATAACTGATATAAATTGATACATTTTTTATGAATGAATGGAGTGAATGAATGAATAAACAAATACATAAATGCATAAATAAAACAGCAAATAAAAATAATATTAAATAAATAAAAATTAATAAAAAATGAACGAATGAATGGAGTGAATTAATGAATAAACAAATACATGAATTCATAAGTAAATAAAATAATAAATTACAAAAATAATAATAAATAAATGTATTTAATGTAATTCATAAAAAATGAATGAATTAATGAAGGAGTAAATGAAACACACATCAATACATAAATAACTCAAATGATAAATTAAAAAAATAAATACATGTAATTAATGAACTTTTTCATGAATGAATGAATGAATGAATAAACAAATACATGAATACATAAATAAAATGGCAAATGAAAAATAATAAAAAATAAATGAAATTAATAAAAAATGAATGAATGAATGGAGTGAATGAATGAATAAGCAAATACACGAATGCATAAATAAATAAAATAATCAGTTAAAAATCATTTATCATAAATTATTAAAAAAAAAAAATGCAATATAACAGATTTAGTTTAAAAAGACTCTGACAGCAGTGACTGATAGACTGCATATGATGATATGTGTGTACCTGGTATCCGGCCAGTAGTTTGCTCCTCCAGTGTGTGTGTGGCATGTCATGGATGGACAGACGCAGGTTATGATAGCTGTCTTTGAAGAGCAGGACGTGCGGCTCGTCGATCAGTCGACCTCCCAGCTGTCTCTCCATCTGCATCACCTCCTGTGGAGAAACACACAAACACACACACACACATCAGGTCAGGTCGAGTCCAGCGGCATCCCATAATACAAGAACACAGAAACTCCTGCCAACATACACTAACGCTGAGAGAGATTCATCAAGCTGCTGCTAGATGGACACACACACACACACACACAGCGACACACATATATGCAGTGCATCCAGAGAGTATTCATAGCGGTAGGTCTTCTGCAGTGTTTGTGATGATTGGGATGCAGTTCAACAGATGATTCATCAGGAAAATCCACCTTCTGACCCTTTTCCACATGATCAACTAGAAGTCAAGATGTTATTTGTTGCTCTTACCACTGGGATCCACCTCAAGACTTCAGTCAGGCAGTGTATTGCCTTGTTGAATCACTGAATGCCTCCTCAATTGTAAGTTAATTGTAACTGAATGTAACTAGTCACACTCTCTGACTATAAATACAGTCATGCAATTTGAAATGAAGTACTTCATAAGTAATCCACCCAGTCTGACCCACATTCATATTTGTCTCCCAATCCTGATTTTCCCAGCATCAGAGATCTGCTTAATTGTAAGTGTGCCAGGAGAGATTTGTCTAATGTGTGTGTCTCTTTGGGGTCGGGCATTTGTTGGCCATCTGGAATCAGGTAATAATATCCGTGCTCATCCTGGCTGATCTGTCAATTGTTTTCCAGGACACATTTCTCATGCTAAAGAGAAAACACACAGACTAAACTCAAACTACATGATGAATGAAGCTCCGGCTTCCAGAACTGGCAGACCTTCCCAATCAGGACGGCAATCTTTCACAAACACCCAAAACAGCAGAGCGGAGGAGAGAGCTGGAGGAAAGAGACACTCAATACACACTAATATGCAGTAGGTAGTGCTGTCGCCTCACAGCAAGAAGGTCGCTAGTTCAGGCCTCAGCTGGGTCAGTGGCGTTTCTGTGTGGAGTTTGCATGTTCTCCCTGCGTTCGCGTGGGTTTCCTCCGGGTGCTCCGGTTTCCCCCACAGTCCAAAGACATGCAGTACAGGTGAATTGGTTAAGATAAATTGTATGTGTGTGTGTGTGTGTGGATGTTTCCCAGACATGGGTTGCGGCTGGAAGGACATCCACTGCGTAAAAACGTGCTGGATAAGTTGGCGGTTCATTCCGCTGTGGCGACCCCAAATTAATAAAGGGACTAAGCTGAAAATTAATGAAAATAAAATAAATAAACAAGTAACAATTAAATTAAATCAAATAATTCTCAATTGATACAATAAAATATTCTTGAATTAAATTACATAAATCATTTTACCATATTACGAATTTCTTAAGGCAACTGGGTTTTAGGAAACATGTAAAATTAAATTAATATTTTATGTACCATAATTGTTTCTTATTATGGTTTTCTAAAGGCAACTATAATTATTAAATTAAATTAAATTAAATTAAATTAAATTAAATTAAATTAAATTAAATTAAATTAAATTAAATTAAATTAAATTAAAATTGAATAAGATAAAAAAAACATTATTTTAAAAATTATTAATCATATTATTAATTTCTAAAGACAACTGGATTTCAGGAAACATCATACAGTTCTTTATGTTCGACAATAATTTTATATAAATTTCTAAATTCAACAAGGTTTTAGGAAATATAAAATAAAGTAAAAATACAAACACCAGATGTACAATAATCATTTTATTATATTATCAATTTCTCAAGGAAATTTCTCATAGAAAATGTAAAAAAAAAAAAAAATGTATTATAAAAATAAAAAAATTAGGGTATATCATATTATATCAATTTTAAAAGCCCCTGGGTTTTAGGAATAAAATAAGATAAAAATTATTTATGTACAATAACCATTTTATTTACATATTTAAAGGCAACTGGGTTTTAGGAATAAAATAAAATGAAAATAATTCACGTATAATAATCATATTATCGATTACCAAGGCAACTGCTTCTAGAAAACATATTAAATAAATAAAAATGCTCATACAATCATATAACCATATTCAATCCATTTCTAAAAGGCAAATGAATTTCAGAAAATATAAAATGAAGTATAGTAAAAATAAAATACTCGATGTACAATAATCATTTAATTATATTATCAGTTTCTAATGCAACTGGGGTTTAGGAAACAAAACAAAAAATACTTTACTGTTTGTTCAATAATCATTTTATATCCATTTTAAAAGGGTTTCAGCAATAAAATAAGAATAAAAACAAAAGATAAAAACCCCCTGATGTACAACAATAATTTCATCATATTATCAATTTCTAAAGGCAACTAGGAAACTTAAAACAGAAAATATATAATAAAAATACTAAAATTCTTTAAGTACAATAATCATTTTACTTATATTTTCTGAAGGTTTTCTAAACTGGGTTTTAGTAAACTTATAAAATAAAATACATACTTTCTGTACAATAACAATTTTCTTATATTATATATTTCTAAGGCTACCAACATAAAACCAACATAAATAAATAAAATACAAATGCTTTAAACATAATTTTATACATTTTTAAGGGCAACTGGGTGTTAGGAATAAAATAAAATTAAAATACTTGACGTAAAATATTTATAATAGCGATTTCCAAAGGCAACTGCTTCTAGAAAACACAATAAAATAAATAAAAATGCTTCATGTACAATAATCATATTATCGATTTCTAAAGGCAACTGCTTACTTAATAACATTAACAAAATACTTGATGTACAAAAATCATTTTATTATATTAGCAATTTCTAATCATTTTATATTAATCTTAAAAGGGTTTCAGGAATAAAATAAGAAAAAAAGATAAAAACTCCTGATGTACAATAATAATTTTATCATATTATCAATTTCTAAAGGCAACTAGGAAACTTAAAATAAAAAAACATACAATAAAAATACTCAAATTCTTTAAGTGAAATAATCATTTTATATAGATTTCTAAATGTCTTAGGAAACTTAATAAAATAAAATAAAAGTGCACAAATGTATAATAATGATTTTAGGAGCACAGAGGGAAGCAAAGCGATAAATAAATCTGAATAAATGTGTGAGTGAACAGAGGAGACGGATCTGCTGTAATCTCCATATGTTTGATTCCTCTGGCTGTAAATGTGGATGCACATGAGTAGCGCTGGAGAGCGTCTCTAATTAAGATGGAGAATCAGACTGATTTGTATCTGCATGTGGACCGTTCAATTTTCTGCACTCTTTAGCAAAGTATCGGCAGGCCCTGTTTCAATTAAAACTCTATACGAGCTGTTAATTATTCATTTGCATTAGCTGCTGTACACGTAGCATATGACTCTCGTTTGGAGAAATAGCGAGCTTCACTGAGCTTATTTCATGAAGAGAGGACTTTTATGCCATTTTTTTAACATAATTGGATTCTTGGACATCACAATGGAATGCAATGAAATAAAAACACATGATCTATATTATCATATTACAGTTGTCTTATGGCAACTGGCTTCCAGGAAACCTATTAATAAAACAAATCACTAACAAAATAGTATTATATGATTAAAATACACTATAATGTCATTTATTAAAACAAGTAAAAATAAAATAGAGTGAAATTACGCAAGAATCTATTTATCATATTAGTTTTTAAAGGCAATAAAATAGAATAAAATAAAAATACTTGATGTAGAAGAATTCATTCATCGTATTGGTTTCTAAAGACAATACAATAAAATAAAAACAACTGATTACATATTAAAATGTTTCTTGTACATGAAGCATTATTTTATTTACATGAGAGATTCCTGGAAGCATGTTGCCTTTCGAAACTGACAATAATATATCAATTGTAATGAAAAGTAGTAATGGTATTTTAGTTTATACATTCGTTTTGTTTGGTATAATTTAATTTAGCAGTTTAATTTAGGTTGAACGTTAGAAAATAAACCAGGTACATTTAAAAAAAATGACAACATGAAAAAATGATTATTGTACGTATTATTTTAAAGGCATCTGCTTTATTTTCTGACCTATAAACTAAACTAAACTGCTTTATATACAAGTATAGTTTTGTTAAATTATCATTTTCCAAAGGCAACTGCTTCTGGGAACAAAGAAAAATTAAGTTAAATTAAAAGACTGCATGTACAATAATGGTTTTGTCATGTTCTTAATTAAAAAAACAACAACAACTTGGCTCTATGAATCGCAGAATAAAATAAGATATAAGATAAAATAAAAATTATTTATGTACAATAATTATTTTATTATGTTATCAAAAAATGCAACTGCTTATAGGAATTCCCAAAATAAAATAAAATAAATTTTTTAATTTTAAAATGTTAAAAAAACAACATTTAATTAAATTAAAAATAAATAAAATTAAAACACTTTAAGTAAAATAATATTTTTAATGTTATAAATAAAAAGGTAACTGCTTATAATAATATCAAAATAAAATAAAATAAAAATACTTTATGTACAATAATAATGTTTATTGTTATAAATAAAAAAGGTAACCGCTTATAGGAATCTCAAAATAAAATAAAATTAAATTAAAATACTTTATGTACAACAATATTTTAAATGTATAAATAAAAAGGTAACTGCTTATAAGAATCTCCAAATAAAATANAATAAAATAAAATTAAATTAAATTAAATAAAATTAAATAAAAAAAATACTTTTGTCAATAATAATTTTTTATGTATAAATAAAAAGGTAACTGCTTATAGGAATCTCAGATTAAAAAATAATAATAATAAAAATTATTTATGTACAAGAATATTTTTTATGTTATAAAAAAATCAACTGCTAACAGGAAGTCCCCAAAAAATAAAATAAAAAATAAAATAAAATAAAATACTTTATGTACAATAATAATTTGTTGCTTATAGGAATAACTATATATAACTGCTTATAGAAATCTCCAAATAAAATAAAATAAATTACTTTATGTAAAATGTATATAACATTAAATAAATTAAAATGAAACAAAATGAAAAAATATTTTATGTAAAATAATGATTTTATCATGTAGTCAATT